GTCTAGATTGTCGGTTATTGTCAAGGTTACATGGATACTGATTATCAGCTAGTTTCTGAGAATACGATTTTTGTCTAGATTGTCGGTTATTGTCAAGGTTACATGGAGACTGATTATCAGCAGTTTCTGAGAATACGATTTCAAGAACTATATCATGCAGGAAATGGATGGACATAACAAAGATCTCTATTGGAGGAAATGGATGGACATAAAAAAATCTCTATTGGAGGAAATGGATGGACATAACAAAGATCTATATTTGAGGAAATGGATGGACATAACAAAGATCTATACTGGAGGAAATGGATGGACATAACAAAGATCTATACTGGAGGAAATGGATGGACATAACAAAGATCTATATTTGAGGAAATGGATGGACATAACAAAGATCTATACTGGAGGAAATGGATGGACATAACAAAGATCTATACTGGAGGAAATGGATGGACATAACAAAGATCTATATTGGAGGAAATGAATGGACATAACAAAGATCTATATTGGAGGAAATGGATGGACATAACAAAGATCTAGATTGGAGGAAATGGATGGACATAACAAAGATCTAGATTGGAGGAAATGGATGGACATAACAAAGATCTAGATTGGAGGAATGGCCGAAGAGTGGATCAAAGATTTCCCTTTACTCGTAGAAAATGAATCAAGGGATCTGACTTTTGATGTGTTCCAGCTAATACAATCATCTAGAAGATGATGGGAGCCTTGCAATATGGGGTTACAAGCAGAGGAATGGTGTCTTCCGAGCCAAGATGTACTCACTTCACACAAGTTCTAAAGTGTACAACATGTGGATAAAGGACACATTTGTCACTGTTTTTCCACTAACTAGTATCGCCAGTGCTAAGCCGGAAAGTTTGTGTTTTGGAACTTGTGCATAAGTAGTGTTGCTCTTTTGGTTTTGGAGTCTTGTGATGCATCAAACCCATGAAATTACAAGTATAGCTTTTGGACACATCACGCGTTTTGAAATTGCAGGCTTATGTCTTCAAAGGATAAATATGTTAATGACAAGACATCCAAATAACAATTTATGAACAGTGATTTCAGAGAAAGCATTCCTAAAAATTTTCCTTTTTAAAGAAATAGCTGCTTTTCTAAGTGTTTTTGATTAATTTTACTGCATCTTTCATATTTTTTTAATGTAGGGTATCAGACGTTTTTACTTGATTAAGTACCAGGTATATTACCACTGTAAGTTGTATGGTATCAGACGTTTTTACTTGATTAAGTACCAGGTATATTACCACTGTAAGTTGTACGGTATCAGACGTTTTTACTTGATTAAGTACCAGGTATATTACAACTGTAAGTTTTATGACATCAGACGTTTTTACTTGATTAAGTACCAGGTATATTACCACTGTAAGTTGTATGGTATCAGACGTTTTTACTTGATTAAGTACCAGGTATATTACAACTGTAAGTTGTATGGCATCAGACGTTTTTACTTGATTAAGTACCAGGTATATTACCACTGTAAGTTGTATGGCATCAGACGTTTTTACTTGATTAAGTACCAGGTATATTACCACTGTAAGTTGTATGGCATCAGACGTTTTTACTTGATTAAGTACCAGGTATATTACCACTGTAAGTTGTATGACATCAGACGTTTTCACTTGATTAA